ATTAAGGTACATGGTGAATAAATCTGATGAAATCATTAGGCAAGACTAAACCCCTTTAAAACCAGGAAGAAGAGATCTGATGATCACCACAGGCCAACAACATTGACAAATTCCAAGACATTCCCCTGGATTCAGCTCTGATAAGAATGCTTTATGCTGTGACCTTCTAGCCAAAGACTAATGCTCTTCTTCTGGGATTTCACTTAATACTTCCTTCCTAAGCAGGAAAGGTTACTTCTATTTAATCTAACTAATCTTGTATTTTTTTTTAAAAGTTCCCTTTATTTAATTCCTACAAAGAAAACATCTCTAAGGAAGAAAGGAAGGAAGCAAGCAAGCTTTGACCTTTATTTGCTACATGAGCTATTTTACCAATAGCTACAAGTGATTATGTTTTCACTATTCTGAATAACAACCCTTTGCACCCCTTGGCATAAGAGAACCAATAGCTGCAACCTAAGGCTTACTTGTGAGTGAGCAGAAAAATACAGGCAGAAAAAGACTAGAAAAAGGGTGAAGGGTAAGGGAGGAGGAGGCACAAGAAATCATTTCTCCTTTGAGTTTCTTAACTAAATTATTGCAATACATATTTTCTTTTCATGTCAACTTGGCGGCTAATGAGCTTCATTTCCACAAGTTGCTTGTTTTCTTTAAGGTGGCTGTATATCTGAGACAAACTGCAAAGGTCTCTGGTTCAATCTGCAAATAGGTTTGTATTAACCTCCATGGAGATGCACAGACAGTGAACACATTATCCAAACCCACAATTCAGACGCAGGGTCTAACAAAGGGTACTTGTGCTTTATTTCCAGATGCAAGCAGCAGCTTGGCAAATGCAGTTCCAATGACTAAATGTTAGGATTTCTGGGACATTTTGGTCTTATAAGGAGCAATCAGAAAAAAAAAAAAGAAAAAATTGTGTTCCTGAAAATCTGGGTGGTGATTACAAAACTGGAGCAAAATGACAATAGCAGAATTCCTGTATTTACTACTTTATAAGAAAAGGATTCAGAACCCATAAAAAGAAATCAGTGAAAATGGATACTTAATACATTTAAAATATACAAATTTAGAGAGCGAGGCGGAGGGAAAAAAAAAAGAAGAAAATATACAAATTTATAAGCATCATGTAAAATGTATAAATTAAACAGTATCAACCTATTAATAATTATTAGTAGGCAGAGTGTAAAAACGTTAAGTATTAAAAAACTAAACAGTCTCAAAAATGAAAAAAATTAAGTTACAATATGTTAAAAATGAGATATTATTTGGACTTTTATAATGAGAGGGCATAAATGTTGTTGCCACTGAGAACATATTTTTGTGCAAATTTCTTCACGGAAAAGGAAAAAAAAACACCCTAATGGGGAAAACGGTGATGTATTTATGAGCTATCTCCAAATATATTTCTCTGACTCCTTCATCTTCAAATACTCCTCAGAGTTTAAAAATATTCATCCAAGTTCAATATAATGTTGTGTATTTGTGTGTGGAATGAAACTTATTTAGTTACTTCGAGTTGTAGTTTGCTTGAAGGCAACAAGCAAGCATTTCTGATTTGTTCTCCTTTTATTTGGTTTGATCCTCTATGCCCAGCTGCCTGTGTCGGTTTCAAAACTCTCCTGTTGTAGTGGACACACCCTAACGTGACTGCCCAGTGAGACACGCCCTAGGATGACCCCCTCCCCTTGAGTGCAGGCACAACTTGTGACTTGCTCCCAAGCCAAGAGAATACTGCAAAGCCATAGGGGATAGTCACTCCCTTGATTAGGTTACACTATGTAAGTCTCCGTCCTAGCAGACTGGGGTCAGAGATTCTCCTGCTGGCTTTGAAGTCAGCTGCCACGTTGTGACAAGGCCTGTGAGAAGCAATCAGCCACATGGCAAGGAATCCTGAGTGATACCTGGGAGGTGAGAGCACCGCAGGTGACAGCCAGCAAGAAAACAAGAGGCCTCAGTCCTACAACCTCAAGTGAATCCCACCAACAACCAAGTGGACCTAGAAGAAAAAAAAATCGGGCTCCAAAAAGGAACACAACCCAGCCAACATCTTGATTATACCCTTATGAGACCCTAAGCAGAGGACCCAGGTAAGATACACCCAGATTCCCAATCCACAGAAACTGCAGGATAACGGTTACATGTTGTTTTACGCCACTAAGTTTGTTATGCTGTTAAATTTGACAATCCACTTCAAACTCCAATAACAATTATTCTTGCAAAAAAGGTTTGTGTTGCCAGTGCTATTTTCTTCCTCCGTTTGAGGACAGCAGAAATATAACCTAAAGCTTTATAGATGTGTACACCTCTGTCCAATTCAAAACTTTAATGCAGGGCTTCCCTGGTGGCGCAGTGGTTGAGAGTCCGCCTGCCGATGAAGGGGACACGGGTTCGTGCCCTGGTCCGGGAGGATCCCACATGCCGTGGAGCGGCTGGGCCCGTGAGCCATGGCCGCTGAGCCTGCGCGTCCGGAGCCTGCGCTCCACAACGGGAGAGGTCACAACAGTGAGAGGCCCGCGTAACGCAAAACAAACAAACAAAAACTTTAATGCAGAATATAATTCTCCATGTATGAGTCTCAAAACATAAATTAGCTGAACTCAACATTTTTCAAAAAACTATTATATTGGCACTTGAAAATTGGAGAGTATACCTTCAAACCAGTTTTTTTTTAAATGTGCATACTTCATTATTTTTAAAAATAAAGTTTTTAGTTTTGAAAGTTTCATATTTGCAGAATTATTGTGAAGCTAGAACAGAGAATTCTTGTATACCCCGCTCCCAGTTTCCACTGTTATTACACCTTACATTAGGGTGGTACATCTTTCACAATTAGTGAACAAATATTGATACATGTTTATGAACTAAACTCCATACTTTATTCACATTTCCTTAGTCTCTAACTAATGTCCTTTTTCTGTTCCAGGATCCCATCCAAGATACCACATAACAGTTAGCTGGCCAGTTGACTTAGGCTTCTCTTGGTTGTGACAGTTTCTCAGACTTTCTTTGTTTTTGATGACCTTGGCAGTTTTGAGGACTATTCAGGTGTTTTGTAGGATGCACCTCTATTGAAATTTCTCTTATGTTTTTCTCATGATTAGACTGAGGTAATACGTTTTGGGAGGAAGATCACAGAGGTCAAATGCCATTCTCATCTCACATGATGTGAAGGATACCTACTATCAATATGGCATATCTCTGTTAATGTTAACCTTGACTACCTGGCTTGAGGTAGTGTTTGTCAGGTTTCTCTATTGTAAGTTACTCATTTTTAAAAAAAAATCTCACTCCCTTTCCATACTGTGCTCTTTGGAAGAAAGAAACTCTGTGTAGCCCCATCCGGAATTATGCTTTACCTCCCATAAAGCAGAGTATCTACATACATTATTTGGAATTTTTCTGCATAAGAGATTTGTCTATTTTCCTCATATATTTATCCAATCATTTATTTATATCAGAATAGATAGTTATCAGATTTGGGTTATACCTCAATACTAGTTATTTATCTTGTGGTTCAAATTGTTCCAATTTTGGCCACTGGGAGAACTTTTAGTTGGCTCCTATATCCTTTCAACATACATTGTGTCACAGTCATCATTACGAGATTTTGTTTTTGTTTTACCTTTTTTCTTTTAGTACTTTCTGGCACTATAAGATACTCCAGGCTCATTTTGCATATTTCTTGCCCCAGTCCTCAATCAGCCACTTCTCTGGTTCTTTTTATTGGGAAATAATATTGAAACCAGGATTTGAGTGGTAGATATATTTATTGCTACTAGAGCATTATTGCTTCTAGGCTAAACCAGTTTTTCAATCTCTAAATCTGGAACCTCAAAATATCCCTATATGTTTAATATATTTTAATTTACTCAACAAACATTTTATAGAGATTACCACATGCCAGGCATTATTTTAAGCATTTTGTAAATATTCACTCATCTAATTCTTGTAATAACCTCATAACAACAACAACAACAAGAGAGGTAGTTTTAATTAGCCCAATTTGTGGATGGAAAACCCCGGGCACTGAAAGGTTTGGACCTGTGACTAAAGTCATGAAGCTAGTAAGTGGCAGAGCCAGGACCTGAACCCAAGAATCTGGCTCCAGATTTGGGGCACTAACCAGTGCACCACATTGCCTCACACTAGTGAGGACCTCAAAGAACATAAAATTGATGAATTAATTAATCCACCCATTCATCCTCCAACAGATTTCTATTATGTGCTAAACTCTCTGCTAGATGTTAATTGGTGCTTAATGCCATCTGAGATACTTCTTGGACTATGGCCCAATTTAAAATGGAAGAAGAAGCTGTTGTAATGTGCCCCTTGAGAGGACTCTGGCAGCTGCCTGGGATGAAGACGGTACATAAAAAACACTCCACTAGGTGGCTGCAGATATACTTTATTATGCTATGGGCAATATTCAAGAGTGATAAGCAGTGCCTTATTTATTTAATTTCTATCCATTATCCTTTTCACAAATTTTAAAGAGAGGGTTTATTATCTTTCCTGTATATGAAACTCCCATTATTTTTCCATAAATTTATTTATTTATTTATTTTTGGCTGCATTGGGTCTTCGCTGCTACGTGCAGGCTTTCTCTAGTTGTGGTGAGCGGGGGCTACTCTTCGTTGTGGTGTGCAGGCTTCTCATTGTGGTGGCTTGTCTTTGCTGTGGAGCACGGGCTCTAGGCACACGGGCTCAATAGTTGTGGCTTGCGGGCTATAGAGTGCAGGCTCAGCAGTTGTGGCTCATGGGCTTAGATGCTCCGCGGCATGTGGGATCTTCCTGGACCAGGGCTCGAACCCGTGTGCCCTGCATTGGCAGGCGGATTCTTAACCACTGTGCCACCAGGGAAGCCCCCAAACTCCCATTTATTATACTACTATTCACTGATAAAATATTTGAATGAAACTGTCTCTGGTGAAAACCACTGAACAAAACTGAGATTTCCATTTACAGCGACTGAAAGAAAATTTAAAATGTATACTTACTTTATGACTGTCGCTAGTGGGTGGTTCCAAGGGACCAAAGCTGAGATGATCTAAAAGAAAACAGGCAAAATAAATATGTTGAATGAAAAAATCTTAAAGGATTTTTTAAAGGTCATTTATCCCCACATATTTACTGGCAGAACTCTGCGAGGCATCCCATGACTTGGCCTTAGTTATCAATAACCCCTTTGGGGAAGGGACTGCAAGTGGGGTAGAGGTAGAGCTCTCCAGAAAGGACTTGCCTAGAAAAGGCATCAGAGGCAGAAATGGGGAGTCTGGCATTGACCTCTTGTTGATATTTATAAACTCCTTGGAAGAGAATACAGATCCAAGGGAAGGGACAGTCAGGAACACGGGTCTTCATTTTGCACTTCAGAACAAGCACCAAATGAGCCTCCTTTTAGATGTACCAAAGTTTAGGTACATTCCAAAAAGAATTAGCAGACACAGTGTCATAATGTAACAATAAGAAATCACGATAAATAGGTCAATAAGTGAGAGTAATGTATTGGTTAGATTCATAGTTCAGAAGAAAGGAATGATCAAAGTTGTTAGCCAGGAGGAGGCTGTATGGGAGGGAGCCTGTGAGGAGTGCGGCTCAGTGTGTCTGACTGAGAAGGCTAGGAGGAAGGGGGTGTGGTCTGCTGAATCCCATCGCCAACGGACATGGGGAGGGGGTGGTCTCTCAGATTGTGTTTCTTGCATTTATAAGCCCTCTTTGAGAAAAAGTGTATTTTAGAACTCTGGGAACACTAGTTTTTAGACAATCTAATTAGTCTACCTACTACAGTTTCAAAACTATCAACAGGGTCAAAGCCCTCTTGGGAGATCTGTAAAAAAAAGAAAAAAAATTCCCAACTCATATCATTTAATTCTTAAATATCAGAGTGTTACCTGTATTAGGAATAAATACCAAGAAATGGAGAATTTGGAGGTTTCTAAAAATCCTCCTTCTTATTAAAAAGAATCAATTGGAGTAATTCGAGAAGAAAAGGTGTTCCAACTGACATGTTAGAAAAAAATAATATTCCACCAATTTCTGTGTATTTGATGTTGTACTAATCATTGCAAAATGCATCTCAGTCAATAAACCAAGGACTCATATTCCTCCAAGCATTTAACAGGGAACTGAACACAGTTAAAGCAAAACTAGGAACTTTACCAAAGAGTTAAGAGATTTGTCCCTTTGAACATAGTTAGAGGCGATATATTTCAGTGGTAAGGACCCTCAGGCAACACTGAACCTCTGGATGTACCATAAATAATAGTTATTATGCTATTTTTAGTTCTGGCAATATAAGAGTTCTGATGTAAGACAGATTCTTAATTTTTTCTTACTACAATAATCTGTACATTTTAATAATATAGATATTTAAAAGACATTTTGGCTTAATATAATGTAATCTTTCCGAGCATGATTTTTTTTTAACTAAAACAAAAAATCTGTGAAATGGTTTTTGTATATTTTCCTTTATCTCATAGTTACTTTGTTAACATATAAGCGCATTACAATTTGAAAAGTGATATTTTAGGCTTTTCCACTGTTAAGATGTGGGATTAAGTCAAATGAATTCACAGTGTTTTACATTTTAAAATATATATAGTTCACTCTGTTCCAGAGCTTCAGATTTTACTGAAAACAAAACAAAACACAGATGCTGACTTAAAGTGTCAAGGTGAATAAATAAGCAGTTTACCAGAGCTGACCAGACATAGGGCCCCAAAGGCTTTCTTTAGTGTCAGAGTGGACAGGCCATTAAAAACCAAGCCTGTCGCTGGCATCCAAGTCAGCTGGGTGAGACCAGGAGAAGAGGACACCACCCAAGAGCTATCAAAGCTCTGCCTGTTCTCTATGCCACTGGACAAGTCTCATTGATTTACTCACAGAGGCACACTGAACCAGCCTATCTTACCTATTTTTTCTCAGAGATTGATAAGAAAATGATGGAGGTGGGGTGGGAGGGGCAAGGACACATGGGAAAGCAGGTGTAAATAATCCACAGGGTGTATATGCATTGTTTATATAATAGCTGATTTCATTGAAACAGATACAGAAGAGAAATTTTGTAGACTACATGCATACCTTGCTAATTCAAACGATCATGTCAGGGAGACAAGGGGATAAGGTAGAAAGAACACAGGTGTGGAAGTCAGGAATCCTGGGGTCTAACCCCAGTGTGGCCGTTAGTTAGCAGGGGGCTAACTTTGGAGCAGTCACTTAGCATCACTAGATCTCTATACTCCGAGAATGTACGTAATCACTCTAAAATCCCTTTTGACATCCATTTCAAGTTGGTTCTTACTTTTCCTTTAAGATCTCTATCAGGAAGTTTATTGTTTATGAACAAATGAATACGGCCAGCCAAATCAGCTTTTTCAGAAGGCTGAAGTGAATCCTTTTTTAATGGTGATAGTGCTTAAAATAGTCACCGTATATATTTTGGTATGCATACACAAACTTCAAGGTCTATGATATGAAAGTCTGAAAACATTTGGATAAAAACTGCTTTAAAAGGTTTTAAATGTTATATGAAGATATTGTACAGTTACCAACACCATTTAACCATTATTTCTAACTACCTGGTCAGTCAGCCATTCCATCCATTCATGCTAACAGCGAATGAAATGGTTTCTGATCTTAGTGTTGGTATCTAATTGCTTACCCAAAACATGGCATTTTCATGACAAGTACTTATAAATAGAATCTGACAAGTACTTATAAATAGAATCAAATGGCTTTTTACATTTCATTTTAATTTGATTTAATAAGTCTAGTAATTTGAATTTCAGCATCTAACCCTAACTTTCCTCTGGAAGTGAAAAAGGCTTAATATTTATTCATTTAGAAAAAATGTACCGTGCTCCAAAACACAATTCAACTGGAAACAGATGATGTTCATCCTCTCAGCGGCACTTAACATAAGCTAAATATATTCACAGCACAGCTGACCATTTATAAACCCAGCTACCATCACAACCAGAGAGCTGTGTCAATGGCAGTCCATTCACTGGTCTGAAGTAAAAAGCCATGAATCCTGCTAGGGTGGAGGCCACGTCTGAACATCGTGCAATCAACACTGGCTCTACTTTACACAAATGTTTAATAAAAATATTTTAAAGCACTTCATTGTCTTGTTTTCTACTTTTAGACTGAGTACTTAAATGAGGATTAATTTAGTACTTTCCACTTCAGGAAACATGGACGTTAAGTATGGAGGCAGCAGATTTAATAGGAATCCAGTTTCCCTCAAAGGACCATTGCTATTGCCCCTGTTTCTCAAGGCACAACCTCACTTGGGCTAGGTGCTCTCCTGAGCTTCCTTCAGATGCCATGATTCATTCTGGTGCCATGACTCTGGGGCTCAAGTTGTGAGGAATAGATATTTTTCTCATTTCTTTCTCAGACCTGGTCGTAAATTCAAAAAGCACGTTATGAGAAAATAAAAACAATAATAGCACAAAGAAACCAACCTGATTCCAGAGAAGAGAGATCCACTAAATAGGGGTTAGAGAAATGTCTTATTCAGCTAACTGGTCAGTCAAGAACAGAGAACTGACGAGTGCAGGAATTCCAGGCCACCTGCGATGCCCCTCTTGGGAGAAAGCCTGGCTGGCTCACAAGCAGAAAAATACAGTCATCCAATAGCCACACATAAGGGGTGTGTGTTTATCCATTCATTCAACAAACATTGATTTAGCATCCACAGTGAGGCAGGGGCTAGCCCTAGAAATGAATGACATGACTTCACCCCTAAGGGGCTCACCTGCTAGACAGGGCAAGCCAGCTAGTCACTTATGACAGACAAGTAAGCAAATAAACTAATCAGAATGGGAGCAGTTGAATGACAGACTCATCCAAACATGCATACCCAATCTGAACACCACCTCCACACACTCCTCACTCCTTCCTTTCCCTGTCTTAACCCAATCTGAACACCACCTCCACACACTCCTCACTCCTTCCTTTCCCTGTCTTATGGTCGTTCTCATTAGTGATTTGTCATCAGCCCTGTTGCCACTTGATGTCATCTATTTATTTGTTTCTGTTTGGTTGTCTGCCCCCCCCAACTCAGGTATGTCCTTGATTTCTTGGGTTCACTGAGGTAAACCAGCCCCCAGAAGAGAAACTGACACCTAGTAGTTGCTCAGTAAATATCTGTTTACTAAATGAATGTATGAGTGAATAAACATCATAGAAGTTACTCAGAAAAAGGAATGACTGTCTAGAAAGATGGGAGGAAATGAGGTTGAGTTCTTATAAAAGGCAATTAAATTTTGACAAAGAGGAAGTTGAGAAGTCAGTTGAGAGAAATTGGCTTAGCAGGTCTTCAGAAACACCCAGCTATAGGTCTGTGGAGAACAATAGGTAGTTTTGTCTGTCCAGTGTCCTGTCCTTAAGGCTTCGGTGGGGCGGTCAACCCCAGACTTCACTCTTCTTACCACGGGGGAGGGCCCAGACCCGAGCTGGGCCATCTGAACCTCCCTCGTGGGCATTCAGGGGTGACAGGACAAGAGGCTGTGCGGTCAGCAGTGCAGCACCTCACAGGATGGTTTACTTACTCGTTCTTGCTTTGAAGACCCTCAGTTGCCCTGGTTCCTGCAGGCCCCTAAGGCCTCCTCCCTCAGTCAGCTCTTCCCTCAGTTCTATAAGCTATTTTTTTCAGGCTCCAGTCAGTAATTGCCGTTTATTTCTGTTAGTCACATCCAAAGCTCTCTATGACCACAGGATCTGATTAAAGATGAATGTGGTTTACAGGGACTCTCAGGAAAGAATTTTTCTCGAACACTGACCATGTGCAGGTACTGAGCTAAGCTCTCTACAGGAGTTATCCAATTTAATCAACAGAACCATCTCTATGGGTGCCCATTCCCACTTTAAAAATGAGGACTCTGACGTTTACAGACGTTAAGTGTCTGAGCTTAGCTCAGAAGGGCATAGGTGAGCTGACTGAGGTAGGCAGGGCCCAAAGGGAGTTTGGATTTTATTCTGAGTGCAACTTATTCTCCCATTATTCCCATAAGAAAACACATCAAAGAAAACAAACCTAAA